GAGTGGAAGAAGTTAGAAGATGGTTGATGTTTTTGTTTTCTTTTTTATGCGTTTTGATATCTATAAGGTGCCTAGGATGCTCTTTTAAAGAGATATTTCGTACTTTGAAAGATTTACTACTACTATTCTAATAATTAATATCGGGCACATTTCAGTCGTTTATTGAGGTGGATGATTTTACAAAGCCTGCAGTTGACTGTTTTGTTGAAGCGATGTACTCTGGTGAAGTTGATAAACTGAAAAAAGACATCTTTGAAGAAGTAAACAAAATGGCACATGTATTCGATGTGTCCTGGTTGACTAAAAGGTGCCTGAAGTTTTACAAGGCAGAAGTACTAAAGTTTGAGAAGAACTCGTACGAAGAGATGTTGTTTGCTTGTGAGATTGCTAGCAGGGCTCATTATAATCTGAAAGACAGCAGATATGTCAGCTGCTTTGTAAAGAATGTTACTTTTGTTGGAAATAGAAAATGTGTCTTCTTACAAAGATACATGGCTGGTTTTGCTGAGCTACCCAAACATCGGATTGACATGTCCCTAGCTATTGTTGCAAATGATTTAAACATCAAAGGCAATTGCCTTATTACCTATGTTTCCTTAGCCCTAAAATCCAAAGGATTAGATAAGAATTCTCTGTACATTCTGAAAAAGCTGGATATCCAAAAGTTCCGCCATACATTTCCCTCTGAATTAAATGAGTTGACGGACTTTATTGTTGCTATCACCGGAGAATGTGAATGTGCTGAAGTGAAATCTTGTGTAGAGAATTTCATTGAAGGGAGGAGTACTGGAGAATCAAGTTGCTCTAAAGAAGAGCTAGAAGTTGATGAAAATACTGAAGATGTACAAGACAGCGATGGTGAGGATTGTAGAGATGTTGCTAATCAAACTGAGGAAATAGAATCAGGTAAATGATATAATATGTAATAGGTTAATTAAGGTATTATTACAATTTAAACTTTCACAATTCTTTATTCTTATGCGAAGTTAGTGACACGTTATCGGCTATTTACACGTCGTATCAATCAATTGTTCCATATTATACAATAATATTTAATATATTTCTAGGTTGGATACAGTGTGTTAGTAACATTTACTACACCCTGTCACCCTACGAACCAGTACAGATGATAACTAACACTACAGAGTCAGTGAATCATATGGCTGTGTGTTATACTCTATCTGGAGAAGGTGGGAGTAGTGTGAATTTTATTGGAATTTATAGATATGTTAAAACCGATCAGTGGAGTTATATTATTGAGGGATGTAATCCAAGCAATTACAATACACAGTTTCTAAACAATGTACCAGCTGCTAAACTCAAACACTGGATAATAACCAAAACTTCTACACACCTAAAGGTAGTGTGTAACAGAGTGACAGTTCTCAATTTCAACTTTGCTACTGAATACAAACCAGGTTGTGAGAATAGTCACCAGGTTTGGTTGAAAAGGTGCACGAGTATAACACTTGCTAATTTAAATAATGATGACTCACTTGTTTTAAATACTGTCGGTTAGTTTATGTAAATTAGGCAGATCTGACCTCTAAACTATAATTAGTGGAAATTCTTTCCGAATTATTTAAGTGTTATCTTATTTACCAACTGAACAGTGTACTTGTAATATACACATAATTCAGTTGTGAACTCATTTATCAACTGAGGTCAGTTTCAGATCATTTATCTCAATGTAATTGTTTTAAACAACAAGATAAATTAATATCATTCCTTTTTTAAGAAATATCTCAAATTTTGAACTGTAAAAAGCTGGCAGCCACTTTGATATTGAGTATTGTTATGGCATGCTAAAGATTATTTCTATTGTTTTGATTTGATTCTTCCTCACGACTTTTTGAATGAATAACACCTTTTTACTGTTTGATTGTCACCAATTGTTTTTATACATATTATTAAATTAGAAATGTTCTACACGCTACAGTTATCAATTATAGACTTTAATTCTACGAGCTTTAAATTTGCAATTTACGTTTTAGCAGTTGGTTATGGCTTCAAAAATTAAAGTACCTGCCAACTTTGGTGTAGAACACATCAACTCTCCTGTACACGGAAATCTGCTTCTTAAGCTGAGAGATGGACAAGAGATTAGAACTAATTCCATGATCATGTCCTACAACAGTCCTGTTATAGACAAACTGATCACCAACCTGTTTCAGGTAAAATATTAAGAGCAGGACGATAATTTTAGTAAAATTAGTGACTGTACAATTAAGTGCTTGCAATAAAATGTCTACTCCAGGCGATGTTAAACTTATTGTTATTCTAATAAGTAATATCTGACACATTTCAGTCATCTATTGAGGTGGATGATTTCACAAAGCCAGCAGTTGACTGTTTTGTTGAAGCGATGTACTCTGGTGAAGTTGATAAACTGGAGAAAGACAACTTTGAGGAAGTAAACAAAATGGCACATGTATTCGATGTGCCCTGGTTGACTAAGAGGTGCCTGAAGTTTTACAAAGCAGAAGTACTAAAGTTTGAGAACAACTCGTACGAAGAAATGTTATTTGCTTGTGAGATTGCTAGCAGGGCTCATTATAATCTGAAAGACAGCAGATACGTCAGCTGCTTCGTAAAGAATGTTACTTTCAGTGGAAATAGAAAATTTGTCTTCTTACAAAGATACATGGCTGGTTTTTCTGAGCTACCCAAACGTCGGATTGACATGTCCCTAGCTATTGCTGCCAATGATTTAAACATCATAGGCAATTGCCTTATTACCTATGTTTCCTTAGCCTTAAAATGCAAGGGATTAGATGAGAATTCTCTGTACATTCTGAAACAGCTGGATGTCCAAAAGTTCCGCCGTACATTTCCCTCTGAATTGGATGAGTTGACAGACTTCATTGCTGCTATCACCGGAGATTGTGAATGTGCTGAAGTGAAATCTTGTGTAGAGAATCTTATTGAAGGGAGGAATAGTAGCTCTAAAGAAGAGCTAGAAGTTGATGAAAATACTGAAGATGTACAAGACAGTGATGGTGAGGATTGTAAAGATGTTACTAATCAAACTGAGGAAATAGAATCAGGTAAATGATATAATATGTAATAGGTTAATTAAGGTTTTTTTACAATTTAAACTTTCACAATTCTTTATTCTTAAACAAACGTAATAACTACTAGTAGTAACTAATAGTTACGTAGTAAATACTAGTATTGACACGTATCTGTTAAGTGACCTGTATATTTAATATATTTCTAGGTTGGATACAGTGTTTTCGTAACACACACTACACCCTGTCACACTACGAACCAGTACAGATGATAACTAACACTTCAGAGCGAGAGAACTTTATTGATGTGAATTATACTCTATCTGGAGTGAGTTGGGGGCATTTTGTTGGGATTTATAGAAAAAGAACCGATCAGTGGAGTTATGTAATTGAGGGATGTACTCCAAAAAGTTCCAATACACAGTTTCTAAATAATGCGCCAGCTGATAAACTCAAACACTGGATAATAACCAAAACTTCTACACACCTAAAGGTAGTGTGTAACAGAGTGACAGTTCTCAATTTCAACTTTGCTACTGAATACAAACCAGGTTGTGAGAATAGTCACCAGATTTGGTTGAAAAGGTGCACGAAAATAACACTTATTAATTATAATGATGACTTACTTGTTTTAAATACGGTCGGTTAGTTTATGTAAATTAGGAAGATCTTACCTATAAACTATAATTAGTGGAAATTCTTTCCGAATTATTTAAGTGTTATCTTATTTACCAACTGAACAGTGTATACACAGTGTACTTGTAATATACATTATACACATAATTCAGTTGTGAACTCATTTATCAACTGAGGTCAGTTTCAGATGATTTATCTTAATGTGCGTTTTCCTTTAAAAAACGACGAGATTAATTAATGTTATAACTTTAAAAAAAATTATTAGCTACATTTCAAATTTGGCACTGAGGAATGAAGATAGCTGGCAGCCACATTCATATTTTTATGGCATATATTAAAGATTATTTTAATTGTTTTAATTTGATTCTTCTTCACGACCTCTTGAAGGAAAAGTTCCTTTTTAATGTTTAATTGTTACCAATTACTGTTTATAAACACATTATCAAATAAGGATTGTTCTACACGCTAAACTTATCAATTAGACTTTAATTCTATGGGCTCTGAATTCGCAATTTACGTTTTAGCAAATAGACTATGTCTATAGCTACAGATTATTAGTTGATCATCCTGTATCATGTAAGAGTATTTTTCATTAACATGATTGTCAGTCGTCAGATTGTATGTTCACTCACTTAATGAATTCAACTTTAATATTACATCCACGATATTGAATATCATTCTATCCATGTTTGTTTGGATTGTTCTGAGATTAACGATAAATAGTTTCAACACATAAATACATTTAGCGTTTTGATCCAGACTTGGAATGCCAGGTTGATTAAGGATACATGGTGTCAGCTTCATGCGATGTAGGTATAACAGAACAAAAATTAATTATGATACATTTTTTGCAAACTACAGATACTCTTATTTCTGAAATCGTGCCTTGGTTATGTAGTAAAATATATGGTATGATTTATTTCTCTTAATTTTAAGAAACATAAGGCACCTGACTATAACATAATATATGTAAAACTGTAAAAGGAGGTATTAAAGATAAGCAGTAATTTCAGTACTGACGTCAGCTTCATGCTATGATAACAAGTTGGTGGTATGTCAGTACATCTTTTAACAAAAATTTAACAGCAATATTCAGGAACAAAGGGAAGCTAATTGCATTACAAAGGAATTTGACTCTGCCTACATCAGTTTTTAATCAGGATATCGGATTACTTGTAATACCATCAATATAAATGACATGCTACAATTACTGTGTAGATAACAACACAAAAAGAGAGAGTGTGGTGGACAAAACGGACTTAAAATTCAAGGAACACAATTTGATATGAATTACCCCTATCGAGATCATGGTGCCAATTGAAATTTGAAAGATAAGAAATGACATTTTCTTACTGTAACACCCCAGTTCCATAGAGGGTGCATCACATACTTTGAAAGAGGGGATGTGTCAATCGCCGAATACTGAAATTATACATGTTAAAAGTATGTAAAACAACTCCTATAAAGAAGATATCATGTACCACAGACTTTTTAAGAACACCTTTTCCTCCTGGTCATTTATATATAAGATATCTCGCGTGCTGCCACAAGTAAAATTACAACTCATAATTCCCAAACATTATGTGTCATCTCCAAGCAAGCAAGCATTTTAGGTACAAAACTATCTAATTTCATACTGTTTTCAAGACAATGAACTATAATTAACACAAATCACAACAATAGACATGATGATACCTTGTATCTGGTGGAAAATCCAACAAGTGTATCAGGTGATAGCTGAGGCATCTTATACAGGTATATGTAGTTCCAGATACCACGTTTGACGTTCTCTCCGTTATTTACTGTCTCCCTGTCACTGGAGGCTTCTGGTGCTTCTAGCAGCTGCTCGACATCACTACTCATTGCAGTTTTTTATCATACTGTATTACGTGAAGTGTCACAAATAAAAAATATAGAACTGAATATGGTTGCTTTACTTAGCCAATGTCCATTGTTATTTGTAGTTCCAACCAAGTCTTACTGTTGTGTAACTGTCCTGTTTGAAGAAAAAAAAGTCAGACTCAAGTTCTTCAAAGTTATGTTATCTACTGCCAATGAGTGGCACTAAACTGGTCAAGCAAACTACAAATTTTCACCATGCAGGGATTCCACTAATTTATAGAAAAATATAGTCTAGTGGCGGATATGTTAATAAATAGCATTTATTTAGGATCCCCCTTGGAATTATTGCATTGTACAATTGTAACCAGACAATTTAGATAATATCCATTGAGTAATAACAATTACAATGATTCAACTAAATAAATTTGCATCAAACATAAATTCGGTGTCCAATGTGAAGATACAGTGGATATTTGATGTACTCATCTTTTGTGAACGAGCAAAGGAACCACTTAACTTTTGAGAAAGAGAAAAAAATATTCAATTCGATTGAATCATGCTATGTAATTGGCAGAGCACAAGTAAGCAGCGAAGTAAGGTATGTTGCTACCAAAACGGTAAATTCGTAAGATCAAGCTCGACTTTGATCAAAAAAGTCCCCCATTGCCCTAACGATTATTTACTTACTTTACTTTACTTTACTTTACGTTGTTTAGCTGCAAGGCAGCAAAAGCCATCTATGAAAACCACCCTTTTTCTTTTACTTCGGACAACCATGGCTGGCACCAGCACTTACAGGAACCCGAAGGATCGATAACTAAGGCCAGCGACGGTTAAGGTATTATATCACACTTTCTTCGCCCGTGGCTCCGCTGTATAGATCATGTACAGCTCCTCATTTAACCCTCACACACGATTTCTCGAGCATTCGGCTGAGTAGACCGGGGGCTGCATAGGTCCATCGGAACCCTTAGCTGAACGGCAACGCCGCTCACCCCATGGCTAGTGGCACAGGCGGGGATCGAACCCGCAACCTCGTGATTGAGCAGCATATCACGAGTAAGGCAGGTCGAATAACGAACTGCGCCACTAAGATATGGTACTAGTATAACACTGTTCATAATAGCTTTTGTGAACAGTGTACAGTCATCATAAAACTAATATAAACGATCTAATAACTATTATTATACGCTGCCCGAGTGCATGAATAGGCTGCATGCAAAGCTTAGCCACGCAATGCGCTACAACCATAAAGTCCAACATCCAAGAAGCTAGAAATTCATCACTTCACAGGCGATTTTCTTCGCCATCAGTTTGATTAATCGACCCAGTACACAGTAGACCACATACACCATTTTCTTTGTTCTTGGTCTTCTGTAGAAAAGATTTAGAGTACAGACAACAAAGAAAAGTATCAATGAAACAAGACATTTTCAATGAAGTCAATATATAAATATTGTAATGAATGTTTCTGCAAAGCATATACAGAGTGTACTGTATAAAGTGTGACTTTTTTCCACTTTAATAGTTTTGGACAGAATTAAATTTCACGGTTATTTTTAACTAAATTTTGTCAGAAATATAGTTGAATTGATAAAAAAACAAAAATATGGTTAATTGTTAAGCACCTTCCAAAAAAAGCCACCCTTCGGCCTTCCCAAAAATTGAATATTTTAGTCTGAAATTGACATTATTCATGCAATGGCTGAGGTCCAAAATTTTCAAAATCGAATAAAAACGTTTTAAAGATTTTCCTAAAAATTCTGCCTCACATTTATGATTTAGAAAAGATTGTCCGGGCCCGGACAATCTTTTCTAAATCATAAATGTGAAATGATCCCTAACACATATTTTGAAAGTTTCGGGGTGATTAATCAAAAACAGTCGGATAAAAATAGTTTTAGACTCGATTTTCATTGGAGGACTTCTTGTCATACGTTGTATGACCCGCCGCGCACGAAGTGCGCGGCTCCCCTGTATCGTCAGGACGATATAGTGAAACGACCGTGGGGGTCGCAACGTGATACGAAGGACTTCGCTGCGCCGCGCAAACTAGCATTCTTGCTTCGCAGAGCAACAATTTTGATGTAACGGTTTGACATCGTCAATTTAAATTTTCAATACGCCAGATAAACCATAAACTCGATTTTAATGCACTACGCGCGATAGAAAATCGCTCGCGCAATTTTATGAGCGCTGACCTTTGACCAGCGATATCTTTGGCTAGAAACAAAATTATTGATAGGAATACAGAAGCAAATGATAAACATTACTCTTTACTGTCAAAAACAGCTAAAATGTTGATTTCGAAATTTTTAATTGAGACCCCTTAATTACAGCAACCTCAAGTCCCTATAAATTAGCACCATTACTGATTTACATGTTGGTGACAGTAACAAAATCTAGCAATTTGTGAGAAATAAAAAATTGATGGGGATTTGAAATTTGGTTTGCATAAATTTGACACCTAGTGACACAATGTGATGAAAAGTTTTTAGCAACTGCTCCATCAAAATATTTTGTATCTTCACATACATCATATCTTATGAACAGAAACCAGTATGTATCAATTGGATCCTCTGAATCCTCAGCAAACCCCATTATTTACGGTGTACCCCAAGGTTCAATTTTGGGACCTCTCCTTTTTATAATCTACATAAACGATCTTCCTCAAATATCCGAAATAGCTAATTTCATCATGTACGCAGATGATGCAAACATTTTCCTAACAGGAGAAAATATAAACGAGGTTTATGATAAGCTCAAAATTCTTAGCGATGTCTTAGTAAAATGGGTAAATAACAACGGATTAGCTCTAAATCTTAAAAAAACGAATTATATGATCTTTTCTCGGCAAAGAAACCTTATTTATCGCGATGTAGTAATCTCTGGTGTCACAATCGAAAGAAAAACAGAAGCCCGTTTCTTAGGAGTTATAATAGATAACAAACTGAACTGGTCGCAACATATTTCTGCCATGAAAATGAAAATGGCCAGATACATTGGAGTCATGTACAAACTTAAAAAATATTTGCCTCTGGAAGCACGTTTACAAATATATCACAGCTTTGTGCAGTCTCACCTTAATTACTGCTCCCTCGTCTGGGGTTTTGCTGCCAAATCCCATATAGAAACACTATTTGTAAAACAAAAAATGGGTCTTAGAGCAATACTACCAGGTTTTGTTAATTACTGGTACAAAGATGGTACACCACCAGCAAGTACCAAGTCTGGTTTCTATGTACACAAAATATTGACAGTTCATAGTATCATCGTAAAGAACGCATTAGTTTTTATACATAAGCTGAAAAACTTCCCAAGTTTAGTGCCTCCCTCTATAAAGAAAACAATACCTAACAGTGCACCAATATTTAACGTCGCCAATCCGGATTCAAGTCTTACAACTACATGGTCAGATGAATATGGTAAATACCCTTACAATAATTCAGTATTCTACAAAGGTCCACTACTAGCAATAAACAGATATAGTGTCGCAGCAACTTCTTTGCCAAGTCTATTCAACCTTAACATCTACAAAAGGTGCATAAAAAACATGCTCATTGATCAACAAAACGAGGGCATTGCAGACGAATGGCCCAACTTTATGTTGTACAATATAACGGGACTAAGGAAATCAGAGCGCAACATCAACCGCAATGCTAATAATATCTCTGTCTCATAAGCACGCCATCACAGAATCAATTTCACTGCATACCATCTCAGTTACACTGCCATCAATTCGCCAGCAATAACGGCATGACGCTATGCGACTGATAACAGTCGTTAAATTTTAAAAAATTTTGGAATAGCTAGCTAGCCGTAGCTATGAGCCTGTTTCCACTCTACAACTATAAAAGGGCATTAATATGATAATTTTAATTAAAGGCAACTTTATATGTGCTCAGCTATGCTTTGTTCGACAAGCTCCATGATATACATATTAATCGTTTTAATGAGATCTAATCTTTAGTGAGTTTTGAGTTTGAATTGATAACACTTATTATATATATTATTTTTTGAGTAAACATTGGCTGGTACTTCGGGCCGGTCCCCAACAAAACATAGCCATGTGTATACGCGTACTGCGTAACGCGCTTGTTTCACCGCCTTCGGCGGTCGGTCGCGCTAAATCACTCTACAGTCGATTCTTCCATTTTCACCACTTTTAGTTTCGCATTGGATAAGCACATGTTATACGCGCGCGTTACGTGTCAATCATATTTGATCCCGACGATTTCTTACTTTGGGTTTCAAACTTGCTTGTCGAGTTTTCGTCAATAATCAATTATCATCCATGATTCACCATTGCCACTTGTGTAATACCTTGAAATCCTATAAGTTGAATGAATAGGTTTTTAAATTGTTGACATAGCATAGAAGGACTGTTGTCAGAATGTATAAATATGATACAGAGCCGCCTTCAGAAGTTAAAATTGTTGAGCCGTATTTTCTAGTGTACTGTTTCGTATGACATATGAGTCGAGGTACAAATAGAATTTTTCGCTGGATCAAAATGCTGAGATTTTAATATAAAGCAAAGCCAAGTATCAATAAACTAGTTTAGATTACGCCTGATTGCTTGAGTCCTATTTAAAAATATTTTTGATATGTCATCCTAGAAGTAGAATCACAAATTTTGCATTCGTTTTAATTGTGTTTTTTTTATGCGAAGAGCATATATTGTTTTTCCTTAAGCCAGCTGATCCAGCTATTGTAAAAGTCTACGGTCTTACTTTAGAAACACTGCGCTTCTTATTTGAATCATTAAATCTAGGCTGCATAAAATGATAGGTTTTCGGATTTTGACCTGAGCAGCCGAAACTGATATTATTATTATTGTTATCCATATAATATACTATTATCGATGTAGTTTAATAGACTATAAATTTATTATATAACCTGGTTTTATTTCCATAGAAGTGTTTTTACCAGTTACTTTAGTAAATTAACAAAATGTACGTCTCCACTCTGCAGTTCCGACTGCAATTCGAACTTTGTCGTCTAGAATCTAGTGTGAATATTATAGATATTTACAACAAATATTTTAATTATCAGG